GGTACACACATTTAGCAGTGTTTTTTAAAAGGATTATTGGGTACTTCTATTAAGGTTTATAAAAAGGGTTGCGGTGGCCCAAGTGGTTAAGACGCTGAACTGCAGACCGGAAGGTCGGTAGTTCAGCAGTTTGAGACCCGAGTGCCACAGGACAGAGCGAGCTCCCGTCTCTGGCCCCAGCTCCTGCCAACCTAGCAGTTCGAAAGCAAGAGATTATAAGTAGAATCCGAATCTAGGCGTGTGGTGCTCATCTCCGTTTCCAAGCCGAAGAGCCAGCGCTGTCTGAAGACATTTCCGTGGTCACTTGGCCGGCATAACCGTGGTCACGTGGCCGGCATAACGCTGTTCCCTTCCCAACCGAAGTGGTACCTATTTATCTACTTGCAATTTCTTGCTTTCGAACTGCTCGGTTGGCAGGAGCTGGGGCCAGAGACAGGAGCTCACTCCGTCATGTGGCACTCGGGTCTCGAACTGCTGAACTACCGACCTTCCGGTCTGCAGTTCAGCGTCTTAACCACTTGAGCCACTGCAGCCCCTAGACTATGCATATACCATTTTTTTAAAAAAACTATAACTGTTGTTTTTTTATTGTAAGCTGCCTAGAAAAGTGGCTAATAACTGTTTTTAAAGAAGTAATCACGATGATGGCATGACAGCTGGGGAGGGCGGAGGGTGCAATCCGCATCTTTTGTGAAAAGGAAACCACAGATTAGAAAGTGTCAGAAGTTGCATTTCAGACCAGTTGCAAAGGGGGACAAGGCTTTTATACCTTTAATGGTTATATATTAAAGGGTGCAGTTTTCCTCACGTCCTTACATTACAGGTCCTGTCAGCCTACTGTGTCGTCACCGTAACTGTTACAGGTACAGGGTCAGCCCTGTCATCCTTATGTGAGCCTGCAAAACAAAACAAAAAATGCCACTTGCTCCAAATGGAAAACATACTCCTCCCCTCCAACCCTTTTTTTCATGAGGAAGACCAGCAAGCAGTGTTCCCTCTAAGCTCACACATTTTTGTCTTAGCTCAGGAAGGATGGCTCCAGAGCAAACCGATTTATGCAGTTTCCAAATCGCTTGCTCACAATTTTAATGGCAGTAGCTCACAAAGCAGAATTTTTGCTCACACGACTCCACAGCTTAGAGGGATCATTGCCAGCAAGCCTGGGAAATGACCAAGAGGCATGGCAATAAAGCGGCAAGGAAAACTAACTGATCCCCCTGGCTTTTTGAAGAAGCACCGCCTGCCTATCAGTCAAGAAGTATCGGAAGCAGGAGCAGATGCTGGGCCATTCCGAGATCAGAGCAGATTAGCGGAGTCTGCTTGTGTACAATCCTCTGGACTGGCACAGTCTGCCTACCTGGCACCTGGCCATTAATCACCTGGCTTATTTTTTGCTTGTTTCCAGAACAACAGTAGTGGGCCGTTTCAATGTCACCTTTCCGTGCGCGTCTCTCCCCCCCCCCTTTTCTAATCTCTAACGGAAGCCACTGCCAAGGCCATACCTCTTCAGTTTCAATTCAGATGGATATTGCTTTTATGCTTTCGTTTCATGTGGTCGGATTAGGGTTGCCAACCCCCCCAGTTTGCCAGGGGTCCCCCGTTTGGGGGGGCTCTACCCGCCGCCGGCCAAATGGCCGGTGGGGGAAGCCCCGCCCCCAACACCCACAGCCACTCCTCTCCCTGCTCTCTTTTTTCATTAAAACAAGTTTTTATTAACGGGATATAAAACGAGTCCAAAATTAACCAGTTCACCATTTCTTAATTTATCCCTTTCCCCTTTTCCCTCCCACCCCGTCTCTAGGCTTCCCGCAGCGTTCCCACCCCCACCACATTTCCTCTCTTAATCTTCCCTTCAGTTTGATATTATTTAAAGGTTCACAATTTCTTTTACTACCTTACTTATATGTTTTCAGTCTCATAGGTAACCTATTCGATAACAATTTCTTTCCAACATTTCTAAAGTCTATTCTTAATAATTACTAAAGCAAAACAGTTTATTTTTAACATCCCAATGTTTCTCTATATATTCTTTAAAGTCCTTCCAATCCGCAAAAAATTCTTCATCTTCTTTATTGTTCAACTTTCTTGTCATTTTATCCATTTCAGCCGTAAAAAGTAGCTTCCTTATCCATTCCCATAGTTCAGGTATTCTTTCTTGCTTCCAACATTGAGCATATGTCATTCTGGCCGTTGCAATCAAATACCATAACAATGTTCTCTTTGATACATTCACTTCTTCCATTTTAAGACCCAAAAGTAATACTTCTGGTTCTTTTTTGAAAGAACATTTCAAAATTTTCCGCATTTCATTATGGACTTCCGTCCAAAAGTTCACAGCTCTATCACAAGTCCACCACATATGATAAAAGGAACCTAATGCTTTTTTACATTTCCAACATCTATTAGACATATTATCACTCATAATTCTGCAAATCGTTGCTATGAGTGGAAAGTTGCTACATAGCAGTTATTAATGTATGTATATATTTGCAAATAGGATTTGAGCCAGCCAGCTGTTTTCTGGATTCTTGGTATAGGGTGCCTATCCTCCTTGTGCAAAAGCAATACCACAAGCAGCTCTAAGTGTGTGGTCTTTGTGCAGGTCACTGTGGCTTAGTTCCCACTGAGGTCTTAAACCATTGCCTGGCCTGTTCCACTCCACACTGCATATATGAACTGGCATGGCGGAATGCTCCCCCCATGAAAAAAGTCATACATGCGGGAAGCCAGCAACTCAGGCTAGAACTTTCTTCCTGCCATATAGATTTGTATATTTTATGCGGAGGAACATTCAGTAATGCGAGCCCCCCGCTGCAGTCTGAAGTGTTGTGGCCCAGACAGAGGTTTATGACCACCTCATTAGGTGGCAGCCCCCAGAAGCTGCAGCTGGCAGTGTTAGCTATCTTCCTTTTAGCTATGCCACTTGGCTAGCGGGCGGGATCTTTTTGGTTATGCTCTGT